CGTCCAGGGTATAGGCTCAAGGTGTGACATCCTCCTAGCTGGACGACCTCTGACTGCTCTATGTGGAGGCATGATTATCTGAAACACGCGTAAGCATGAAATAGAGGGAAACTTTTAGAGATCAAACTCTACGCACGAAATGAGTGTGAAAGAAGTGAGATAGTTCCTAAATGTTGCAGCCCCTTAATTATAGATATGGCGCGCTTCACACCGATAATTAGGACTCTACAAACACGGCTTCATAGACTCCCTAGGACTATTGAACTCTGGGCTCTGATACCAAGTTTGTCACGCAGCGAGCCTACACCCTGGACGTGGCCGGCACTCGGAGACCATTGCTGGCCCAAAGCGAACACTTGGCCTGACTTACTTAATTCAACGAAAGACTTAACTTAACAAAATAAACTCATGTAATAGTTTAAATGAAAATATCTTAGCCAAATTGGCAACTTCTATCTCTAAACAAAGTATCTGCAAATACATAGATGAAAGACTCATAACTAACTATTTGACTGTCTATGAAGCCTATATAATACTGAGATGGATACTGAGACAGATCCCATAATATCCTAATAATGAAAGACTAAAAGCGAATAAAAGAGTCCTCTGAAATGCAAAGAGGCTCACCACTGACTCTGAGTGCTCAACTGGATCAACGAGGCGCTGGATGCTGATCTTGGTTACCTGCGTCTGCATCATAAGATGATGCAGTCCAACTGGCATTAGTACATTGAACGTACGAGTATGCGAGTTAGAATGCTAAACAACAACTTAAGCTTGAAAAGAGTAAGAAGGAATACTTACCTTGGCTCTATACAACTCATGAATAACTGAACTCAATATAAAGCAATAAGACACATGCAATATATATATAACTTGTAAAACATTGTAAACAACTTAGTTCGTTAAAGATAAGACAATAACAAACTCAACTTTACTTATATATAAAAGTAAATATAACTTTTGTGGGAGATTCTCTAACCGACAACCACCACTATGAGCCTAAGTGGTGATACATCGTCTAGCCCACGCTTCCAGAACTGTCCTATACTTTGCCATCATATAGAGCGCTTAACTTAGTGGATCCATTAGTCTATGCTAAAAGCATCTTAAGGAGTCATCTAAAAAGTATGATCCTTTACTACCCATGATGGCTACATGGTTTATGGAGACTTGAGTTAATATGAACTCGCATCCCCATATCGGTGATCAATACTACTCCCAAAAATATACTTAGCTCATATGTTTTAAAAACAATCTTCTTTCTTTGGTTTGAGATAATTACACAAAACTTAGTATAGAAATTCTCTTGGAATCGATGTTCCTTTTTCTTGCTCAAATGTGAAAACATTTATAAATCTTTGGGAGTACTTAGTTCCCTTATAGCTTTTTGAGAAATGAACTCAACTCTTTACTCTTTGCTTAACTTGAAACTTGAGCCTTAAAACGAAGTTAAAACATTTGTTAAAGACTCTTGACAACTTTAAGAAACTTTGCTTTGACTTGCTTCTTAACTTCTAGACTTGACTCTTAACTTCTGTGACTTTGATCTTAACTTTCCTTGAATTGGATTATGGATTCAAGGTTTATGATTTTATGTTTAGGGATGATTTCTAGATGATTTGAAGTCATTTAGAGTAGTTAGAATCAATGGAAAGTGTTAGGACACTTTAGAATAACTTAAACAGGCTAAACGACGAAAACTGGTGAAAAACGCCAATCCGGGCGCGTCCCTGGCTTTCCACGCCAGGCCCCATTTTACTAGGGCTCATTTTTGGCGCACTGCTGGCGCGCCGCCCCAGCCTTCCTGGCGCTATGGGGCGCGTTACGCCAGCCTCCCTTCAGGCAAAATTCAGACGAACTTTTGATCACATTTTCTAACCCTAAATCATTCTAATCCGATTCTTTTTCCCAAATTCACTTTAGATTCATGTACCATATCATATACAAAAAAATATAACTCAAACAACTCAGGGAAACAACACTTAATCATCAAGAAACTCCTAAATCCCAACTCATATTCAAGAACGAAATCAATACAAGAACAACTATCAAGAACATCAGTTTCTCAATCATTTTAGGACGAAAACACATTGAATTAAACATGCTTGGCGCGTGGCTGAACTAACCCAACTCTATGTGATCTCACATACCTTGTAGGGATCACCCCCGACGAAATCCACAAGCTAAACTCGACTTTCTACTTGCTTCTCCTTCTCTTTTCTCCTCTTCTTTCCTCTTTTCTAAAACCCTAACTCCTTTCCAAAAGCGTAAGACTGACCAAGTTCAGTTTAGACCCTCAATTATTTCACTAAAACGAATTAAAATAAAAGGGGAAGGAAAAGACCAAACTACCCTTCAAAAATACGGATTTGGACTTTCCTTAAGCCAACAGCCCAACTTCCAAAGGGCATAGCTCACTCATCCGAACTCGGAATCGCGCAAACTTGGCGGCGTTGGAAAGATCATTCCAAGAGATTTCCAACCATATCTGGAACTACACCTAAATCATCCTGAGCTTGGAGTTATGGTCGTTTAAAGTTGACCAAAAACTCATTTTAACTTACCTATAATTTTCCAGATTACCTTATACCTTTCAAAAATGACTAATTCCAGATTTTAAACTTCTCTCTAGTTGCGAGATGTTACAGTTAGACCAAGAATGAGGCAAAATTGAACTCTTTGTAATCTAGCTTAAAATGAAAGAGACCTTTTATTATATGATACTTATAATTAGCAAAGTTGAATGATTTTTTTATTACAAAAATAATTATTTTAACATTTTCTACTCTTTTTTATCTAGCATAAAAGGGACGAAAAAAAACAATTATCTTGAGTTAGTCTTACTAACCAATCTTGTGGATGGTCAAATAAATTTCAACTTCAAATGATAGAAAATGTGAATAAGTTATCCTCCAAATTTGTTCAAACATTTGATAAATTATTAAACCTGAGTAATCTCAATTATCTAAAACTTCTGATTCCCTAGTAAAGTTCAATGATTTTTGTTACTATATATTACAAAATCCAGTTAAGTAAATTTCAATGATAAATGAATAAAAACTGAATATTTTTTATGCTGCAACTAGTAATCTAGTAAAAATAAAATAAAATAAAAACTATGTTATCACGTGTGAAATCTAAAGTACTCTGTTTTTTCAAGTTTCATACGTGAACTATTAGGTATGAGAGTTTCCTGCCTAAATTGTGATCAACTATATATCAAAACGTACCTCAGATCATCTATATGTTGTTCCCTTATTCTACCTGAAATATCACCACCATTAAAATAGGAAAATTGAACAATTGTCAAAATCCATAAACATGTCTTTGGAGACGCCTTCCTCCGAATGTTTCTTCCAGTATTCAATCACTTTAATTTGGTCATTGTTTTGCTATGGATATTAGGCAGGGGAATTACGTTTGAAACACAATCGTCTTCAATCATATTCTTGAAAGCTTGTGACCTTACGGCTATCGCCTCGTCTAGTACAAATACCTTACCATCGCAAGTCTTTAGAGTTAAGAACTTTGTTAAAGAAGACATGATGATAAAAATATAATTGTATAAGAGATGTTAATTTATTTTTGTTGAGAATAATATTGAAAGGAGATTTGAATGATTATAATGTCTGAGAGGTTTGAAGGGCTTAATTTATAGAGCCTTAGGTTTTCACTGTTCTAGTTGAAGTAGGAAGTCAAAACGGGAAAAAAAAAAGTTCATGGGAATATTTATGGAGACTATTGCTTAAAAACAAAAAAATTCTTGTAATTGGAGTTAATGGGAATTTGAAAAATCCAATCTTTATCACTCAGAACATATGTAACAGATAGGAAGATGGTGATAGGTACAAGAAAGCTTTTGTTGTGTATCTTCTTGTAAAAGCTGAAGTTATTATAACTTTGGAGAATGGTGTTTGAGTAGTTGTAGACACATCTCTAAGCTATCACTAAGTTTTCTTTTTTTATACCCTAAACAAGAGGAAAATTAAGACTCTACCTAATTTTCTCAAATAATATAACTAGCTTTAATTTCTTTCCAACTAACCTTCTTATTCATGATTTTTTAAAAAGACATGTAAAGAGAAAGTCTAATATTTAATATGAGACGGAGGAAGTAACGTTTATCATATTATTTTATTTGTATGTTAATTGTCCTCCCAACATGAACGATATAAGTGGAGAGACTATTCTAGGTCTTATGATTTAGAGAGAAAAAATGCATCATTATCTCATTCAACTATAACACATTTTTTAAAAGACACTGAAACTTTGCAAAGGTCCTAGCACCCCCTTAAATAATTTAAACGTGTTAAAAATATCCCAAATTTCGATCAATCTCACGTATAAGAAAGAAAGTGCATACACACACCAACTATTACCTACCACGTGCCAATTATTTTTTAATTTTATTTTCATTTATTTCTCATTCTATTTTTTTAACAAAATATTCTCTTTACTTCTTCAATTGTTAATGTGAGTTGGACTGCTGTAATCCAACCTTTTTCCTCCTCTTCGCCACCGCCGGCTTCACTGCTCTAACTCCATTTCAACCATTTAATTTTTCTATCATCCAATCATAGTTGTATGGGGTAACAGAGGAGGTCATGTAATCTAAATTATTTGAATTGGATATCTATTGAAATATGTCATTAAAATGTTTCCAACCTCAAATTCATAATTTAATCTGTCGCAAATGTGAATTAGTCATTTCTAGTGAATATACAATATATTAAAAGAATTAAAACATTGAAAGTTGCTCAGATATATATCTAATTTAGGACTATTTAGAGGAGATTTGAGTGAATAACATATCTAAAAGGATAATATTTTTTTCTCAAATAACATAACAAGCTTTAATTTCTTTCCAACATAATTTATAAATCATTCAAAATCGAGCAATATTTCTTCAAAAAGGAACAACAGAAGATAGAACTAACAGAAATAAAATAACAATAGAAATAGGATATAGCTAAGGAAATAAGGGAAATATTATAAAATCATTCAAAAGCCCAAGCATTCTCTCTACGGACCTCCTCCTCTTCCTCTGGAGTATAATCATTCACGATACCAAATACTTCACGTATTTCCTCTATTGGTTTCCCTTTGATCCTATCAACAAATTCTTGGATTATTACCTCCTTTAACTGCTTATCATCAAAAAAATTAGTAGCCAAGAGAACACCAACTAGTTCTGATTGGCTCATCTTCAAGAAATCCTGATCAAAACTCTTTAACCGATCTTCCGTAACACCTTCTTCCGAATATTTCTTCCAATATTGAACAATTTTGGTCATTGTTTTGCCATCAACATTAGACAAGGGGATGACATTAGAAGTACTATCCACATCTTGTACCATGTTCTTGATGACTTCTGACCTCACAGCTACAGCCTCATTGAGTTTGAATTCCTCACCATCACTAGTCTTGAAAGTTATGAGTTTTTCTGAAGACATGACAAAGAAAATAGAAAGAGCTATGAATGAATGATTTCAATACATGAGACTATCTTGGTCTTTTATAGTGTATTAGGTTTTAATTACTTTCCAAAGTTGTGGTAGGAATATGGAAAGCTAAATATTACATTGACCAAAATTTATTATTTTTCCTTTTTTGAAGTTTAATTAATTTTCTTTTTAAATCTACCTATTATGTCTTAAATTATTATGATATTGATATAATTTAAAGTAACAAGGAAAGTTCTAAACTCATTGTTCTTTAATCATCTACTAAAATATGAATCATTTCTGATAGTTATTAAAATCCCTTTGTTTGACTACATTTCCGATAAAAGTAATCGGGAAACTAAAACAATAGAATGACCATTTGATCATTTACTAATTATGTCTATGTCTACTCGGATCTTCTTCGGGCAATTGGGTAAGTTTAAATAAATAAAATTCGACATCGTCGCAACTATACATTATTTTGAGTGAATAATATATCTAGAGAATAGAAATATTGAGTGTAGCTAATAATATCTAAATTTTGGATTGTTTAGTGGAGACTTGAATAAGATATCCATTGAAATCGTTCATTAAAAGCTTTTGAATCTCAAAATTTAAAATTTGATCTACCGCAAATTTAAATTGATTATTTCTAGTGAAAAATAATATACTAAAAGAATCAAAACATTGGGATTTTTTCATATGTATAATTTAGGACTATTTAGAGGAGATTTAAGCTAGTCGATATTGAAAAAATTCAACTCATAAGGATGATGCGTTGTAATGTATAAATATTATGTAATTGTGTTTGTTATTATTTATACATATCTAATGTAAGCTATACATCATACATATATACAATCTTACACTATTTATATAATATTGATACCTTACATATACATTCATCCATTTAATTAAATAAGAATTTGGTCAATGATACATTTACTTGAGAAGGCGTAGTAAATATTGCCCTTTGGAATATTACTAGTTTTTTTTTTCCATACAATTGTAACAATTGATTTGTTCTATTGTAATATTTTAAGCTCATCCACTATCATCTTGCAAGATGTACTATATATTGTGCAAAATAAAAGATAATACATATATATACGCTCATCCAACTAATATTTTTTAGTTTCTTCACCCAGTGTTTATTATCTGCATTAAAGTTTAATTAATTTGAATTCGCGCCAAGTAGGATCTCACTCGGACTATAGCGCTTTTTCTATACATTCTTCCAACAATTTTTCTTTATATCAAGTCAATTGGATATGCTTTGAACGAAAATAATTCAAAATTATTAAAAAAAATAAATGTAGATAGTTCTTTTTTATATATCAAATTCATCTTTTAACCATTTGTCAGTGTACCGAAGTCTGCATCAGTAAAAGATGCAGCACATCCGGTGGAAGGAATGTAAGTACATATGAAATTGTATTGTATGTAAAATTGTGGAATGAAACATAACATACATATCAAGATCAGTATAAGCAACTAGCATAATCATAATTGTGACATATGAAGGTTAAGAGATGAGGTCGTTCAGACTGCCTTAAGGATACCTCTTTTATCATATTTTAGTTTATTATGAGAGGTTAATAGTGTAACCAATATAAACCATCATGTGAGCGCATGGAATTTAATCTCAACCCGATCAACTAAGACATCTCATACCTTACTGAGTATGAGACATACGCGTACATATCATATTAATTCATAACTAGTCCTTACCATGAGCATAAAAGGAGTCACATGAACCAACGATACAATCCTTAACCTATGTCGACAAACGTAGTCAGTAGGAAAGGTTTGATCTTGACCTTGTGATAGAGATCCTTTATGACTCTAAACCACATCTGATATACTTCTCACACATAGGAATGAACCTTAACACATGTATACGTAGGATATAACCCGACTCAAGTTAATACACTCATGACGAATGATTCAGATCTTTAGCATAAAATTTACAATGTGTTACAACTACACTAGTGCTGACAATTTTAGTCCATATTTATAAAATCAATCCATTTTATTCATATTTCGATGAGTTGGATCACTTGTATTTCGGTTGGATATGTATGAATTTCAAATCTATTGTTAACCTATAAGAGTATCGACACATATGGGTAAAATACAAGTATCCATATTTGACCATGGTAAGCCAATTCAAACTTGATATATTTCTATAAGAAGGAACCAAAAATACATATTTTAATTAATTGAAGGTTAAATATATTGAATCATTTTCTGGAAATTTGTATTATCATATCCGTTCCTAATGAAATCATGTTTGTCTCTTCTTATGCTTTCAGATTAGTTTTATTTACTGTTTTTTCGCCTTTTTTTTCTTTTTCTTTTTCCATTATTTTTCTTCCAATTTTTTAATGCAAAAATAAAGAAATATAAATCGATCGGAAGAAGTCATTTAAAAAAGAAATGCAACGAGGTTTATTGTACACCACCTCATTCTGCAATTTTTAATTATTTTTTTTGTAAAATCGGACCACAAGAATCTATTGTATGCTACCTTACCCTGCATTTCTACGAGAAACTATTTTCTTAGCTTGAACTTATAACCCCCTAGACAAGCTAAGTCTGAAATTGAATCTTATAAATGGTGATGAATATATCTTTAGTAAGTTTATATGATATCGTTTAATTTATTTATAGAGTTTCATGAAAATAATGTTATTTTTCTTTTAATTTTGTTTTAACAAATTTATTTGACGATTTAAGTGCGGAAATGTAATTATACATTTATAATATCATAATTAATAAATACACTTTAAAATATACTTTAAAGACATGAAGAAAGAAATAGATAAGAAGAAGTAAAATAAAAAAGAAAAAGAAATGAAGAAGCTAAGAAATTAATAAAATTTTCCATGAATGAAAAAGGAGTAAAAATGAGTTAAATCATTTTATTCCATATATTTGACCAAATTCATTTTTATTGAATTAGCATTCAATTCATTTTAAATTTATTATATTTATCCAATAAATAAAATTTCAAAAGATAAGTTCATTTTAGAATTGTAAAATGATAATTGTCTTGGGATTCGAAATTAAATAGTGATAGTTCTTCTCTTGATTCATTAATCAAGTGAAGGATTTTGAATTCAAGTTAGTCCTTTTAATAAATCACAACTTATATAAGTGCTTGTTATTTTATGGTAAATATCTTATTAATTTTATATAACTTTAAATTTTCATATAATAAAAGAAGTAAATATGAAAAAAATTTAATAAAATTTCTTCTACTAGCACTGTGAAAGGGAAAAACATAAAAATTAGGAAACAAAACTGCTACATAAAATCAGTACATTTTATTTATATTTAAATGAGTTAGATCAAAATATGAATATCAAATCTACTGTTAACTTATAAGAATATGGACAATAAATATAGTTTTTAAATACTCCATTTTAAAGACATAAAAAAGAAAAAAAAAATAGATAAGAAGAACTAAAATAGGAAAATAGAAAAATGAAAAATGAAAAATGGAAAAATTAAATAAAAGTCCATAAAAGAACAAAGAAGGGTAAAAATGGGTCAAAGAATTGGTTGAAACGAGTTTATCCAAATTTATTTTTACTGTCTAAAATTCAACCCATTTTAATTATGATCTCATCTGATCATTTATCATGACTCCTATACATACACTAAGAAAAGAGCTCACATTCAAGAAAAAAAAAACATTGTGAAATAATGGAGGAAAAACAAGTGAAATTTAAGTGGCAGAGAGGTAGAACATTGGAGAAATGAAGCTATCGTTTTGTGTCATTGGCTTCAACTAATACCCCTTCTCCTATGAAACCATCTCTCATTGCCGTTAAATCTTGTATGTTGAACCGCTCTCAGTCTCTTCGAAATAAAAGAGAATTCTTAGGAATGTTTGAGGATTGTCCTCAAATTATTTGATGCTTTGGATTTAATATCAGATACAAAGATGACTTATATCTGTACAATTTGCTGCTCGAATTTGCCAGCTGGAAGCCTAGCTGATCGTATTGAGGGCTGGCGCTCCGCGCCTCTCAGAGCGCCAGGGACGCCAGTTCTCCCCATTCGTTCCCCACCTTTTCGTACATGTTCCTTAGCAATGTACTTATGTTTTCTAGTTGATTCCAACACTCTAAGGTACATCTAAACATCATGAAATCATCCATAAACATGAGATCATGAACCTTGAATCTAGAATCCAACTCAAGGAAAATTAGGATCAAAGTCAAGACAAGTAAGAGTCAAGTCAAGAGAAGTTCTTAGAGTTTTCCAAAAGTCTTTTGCAAACGTTTTAACTTTGTTTTAAGACTTAAGTTTTGAGTTTAGTAAAAAGTAAAGTTGAAGTTCATTTCTTCAAAAGTATATGGGGACTATGTATTCCCAAAGAGATTTAAAATGTTTTCACATTTAAATAAGAACGGAAACTGAGATTTCCAAAGAGCCTTCGGGCTAGTTTTCAGAAAAGAGTAATCACTTTCTAAATGAAGCAAGAGAGGAAGCTTTGATTTCCAAGATAGCCTTTGAGCTAAGTTTTTGAGCACTAATCTCAAATCACAGAAGAAATATGTTTTTAAGCATAAGAGCTAGTATATTTTGGGAGTAGTATTGAGCACCGAATTGGGGGCGAGCATGAGTTCAGATAACTCACGTCTCCATAAAACCATGTAGCCACCGTGGGTAGAAAAGGGTCATGCTTTTTAGATGAACCCTTTTCACAATAGACTAGTGGATCCACTTAGTAGTTCAGGTCGTATACCTTTGGCCGGGTATAGGGTGCGCTGGCAGCGTGAGGTAGACCGTTGTATCATCACTATAGCTCTTATGTGATTATTGTTGGTTAGAGAAACTCCCACATAAGTTATTGTATTTTTATATACATCAAGTTATTGTATTTTTGCATACATTTCAGAGTTATGATTGTATCCTTGTATATACACAGAGTTGACATCATGTTTTTAAACAACTTTTCTTTATATTGCACTTGTTTTAAACTGCTTTATATTGAA